TAGTTTGCACCCAGTGTTAAAAATGTATTAAGGGGTGCCTAGGTGGCTCAGTCAGTTGAGCATCCAACTTCGGCTCAGGTCATGATTTCATGGCTTGTGAGTTCGAGCCCCGTTTTGGGCTCTGTGCTGACAGCTCGGAGCCTGGAGCTGCTTTGGGTTCTGTGTCCCTCTCTTGCTCTGCCCCTTCTCCGCTCCTGCTCTGTCTCTCTCTCTCTCTCTCAACATTAAAAAAATTTTTAAAAACCCACAAAATACTGTATAGGAAATATCAGAATGCATTTTGCATGTTTTTTTCCTGAAATGTTTCAGTATAGAATACATGTGTAAAGGGGTAAAATGTAAAATGTTTCTTAATATAGGCTACAGTCAAAAAAGGTTTACAAAGCTACAGTTCCAAGGCCTCATCCAGTAGGCTAGCACACAGATGACAGAAATGGCCCTTCAGCAAAGTTTGTCCTTAGACTTCATCTCGTCTGCAATTCTTTGTCACTAATAAAAGAATAGGAACAATCTGCTTCCTGTTTTAGGCTGGCTGTACTACAATTTGGTTCAGATCTCTCCATACACCTAAATAAGTATGCTTTAAGTTTATAGTTTGTTTGAGGAAGCGGGGCTTATTTCTGTTAAGATTGTTGAGTTTTTGTGGGGTTTTTTTGCAGGTTTTTCAATTTCTTAATCTTATACTTTAAAATGAATATTTTAACAATATACTTGGTTGGTCCATAGGTCATTAAGCCAGAAGACATTTCTTTACATCCGGATCACTTTGGTAAAGAACTAACTTCTAGGACTCTATAACAGATATCAATAGAGGTGCTTATATTTAATTCTTAAAGGCAGTCTTATATATAGTTGTATGATGAATAACATTAGCTCTTATGGATGACTTTTATCAGCTCAAGTATTACCAGGTGAGGAATCGTTGAAGAATGTAAAATCTCAAATCTCCCAAAATGCTTTAACATTGCTGCAAAAGTCCTTCAGTTCAACAGCCAGCAAAAGAATGTTAATCCTGTGACCAGATCTGGCTTCCCAAGAAACTAGATCATATGAGGCAATTGGTCTTCAGAATTCTTGGTAGGTCCAGAGCTGTGGGAAGTCCAATCACTTCCCCCACCCCTCTTTTTTTCCACTGTTTCCTTTTTAAAGGAAAAAAGTTAAGTACTAGTAGAATGAACTCTTCTAGCAAAGATCTCAACACCTTCTTGATTATCAATGCCCACAGACACTTTGCAGTTCTTATTTTGCTTCTAAGTCCTCAAACCCTTAGCTTCTTTGATATACTGTCTCCTAATTCTTCTACCTTTCTGAAAGTTCATTTCCATTTCATTTGAGTGTTGCCTACGCTTCTGTTGTTGGCTTTTCTTACATAAACACACACTTCCTGGGCAGCCCCCATTTAATTCTACATCTTCCACAATTACCTAAATGTTGTCAATTCAGGGTTAGATCACTATGCTCAACTCCAATTCCTACTTCTAACAACCTGGGCTTTATCTAGATATACCGTAGCAGTCTCTATACTTTAAGTAAAATTGAATGCATCATTTTTACTACCAAAAGAACTTTCACCACCTGCCCCCTCTAAAGCTTGGCCTCTTCCTGCTGTACTTTCTAACTGTGTGAATAAATGGCACTATTTGCCAGCAAATGAAGTCAAAACCGTGAATGGTATTAGATACTTAACTCTCCTTTTCAATCTTATAGGCCCACTGCTACCGACTAAACTTGGAAAATAATGACAGTCTTTTCAAGGTAAAGGCTGAGCACCATAACCTAGAATTCAAGGCTTATGGGGAAGAAAAAACATTATATAAGAATGTTGTGTAAAAGGTGTTAAGTTCCATTGTTGAACTGTTCAATGCAACTGGATTAAATGATCCAGAAGAAGTCTTAACATTTGAATACATTCTGTTCTTACAAAGCTGCTGCTAACTCATCAGTTTTCATGTTTATTACGTAGTGCTGCTGAAAAAAAGTCTGGGAGAGAATAGGTTTTACTGACTTGAGTTTTGAGTGTAACAGCAGCAGCACAAATCTCAGGATTCTCAGAACAGTTCTAATCACGGAGCAAACCAAAACTAAACTACAGAAATACGGAAAGTGGATGTGTAAAATTTAATAATAAAAGGGTCACCATGCAGCCACATCCTCTCCTTGTCATTCATCCTCTCCACCCCTCAAATCCCTTACAAAGTTGAGTACAGTCAAGGTTGGTTGTACAGAGGGGTCGAAAGCAGCCCTTGGGAAGTGCTATCCCTCAAATGTGGATTATGATTCAAAGAGCGATACAAAACTCAGCACCTCTTTCATTTAAAAAAAAAAAAAGTGGAGAAACTTGGTTAAAAAGAGCTAAAATATTCTCATAGCTGCCTAAGGTGTAGGTCTTGATACTTCCACATAGGTGACTTCAGATCCACATGAGGCCATTTGGACTAAAACCAAACTGAGTCCATTACTCATTCCCTCTCCGGCTCTTCTTGTGGCTTTTCTTAGATCTGAAATGGTAAGTAACACATACAAATCGTAATACAGGTGTTAAAGGAGCTAGGCAAGAACTTCTGAGGAAGACAGGAGCATGCAGATACTGATGGGGATGGAGATACCTAATATTTATTTATTATTATTATTATTTTTTTTTTTTTAATTTTTTTTTTCAACGTTTTTTATTTATTTTTGGGACAGAGAGAGACAGAGCACGAACGGGGGAGGGACAGAGAGAGAGGGAGACACAGAATCGGAAACAGGCTCCAGGCTCTGAGCCATCAGCCCAGAGCCCGACGCGGGGATCGAACTCATGGACCGCGAGATCGTGACCTGGCTGAAGTCGGACGCTTAACCGACTGCGCCACCCAGGCGCCCCTATTATTATTTTTTTAATGTTTATTTATTTTTGAGAGAGAGAAAGAATGGGAGTAGATTAGGGGGAGAGAGAGAGGGAGGCACAGAATCAGAAGCAGTCTCCAGGCTCCGAGCTGTTAGCACAGAGTCCGATGCGGGGCTCAAATGAGCTGTGAGATCATGACCTGAGCCGAAGTCAGATGCTCAACTGACTGAGCCACCCAGGCACCCCAATACCTAATATTTATTAAATGTGCTTGGTGTACTGTCTCAGAGCAACACTGAGTGACGCATTACTATCCAAAATTTGCCATTGAGAAAATGGGCTCTGAGAGGTTAAGAGTGCACCTGACAGTGTATAATAGCATATAGAGGTTTCTAATGAAAATTTATCAAATGAAAGTGACTTTGTCCAATGTCACTCAACTGTTAAGTCTTAAAAGTTGGGATTTAATCACAGGTCTCCTGAGACCAAAGCTCATGCCCTTACCACTATCCAAAGCTGTAATCCTATGAGGAAAAAACAAACGAACACGAAACATATATAGTTCTAAAAATTCTCAGGGCAAAAGGCCAATTTTGTCCTGTAATAAAGGAAAATTCCTAAATATTCCCATCAAAACAAAATTTCAGGTCTAACTTAGTTATGATTGGGGCTTTAATTTCTGAATAAAGAAAAAATTCTTAAGTCAAAATAGAGATCAGTCCATACCTTTCAGGAGACTTTGAGTGGCTCCTATGTCTGTGACTACGGTGATGACCTAGGGAAGAAAGGGCCACTGGATGAGTGGTATTCTACCTACCTACTCCTTCACTGTCATTTTCACTTCCCCCAATCCCTTTAATTGGCTTAATATTTTTTTTGGCTTATGCCAGAGACAGCTCTTGTTGGTAGCACTTCTCTGAAATGTGTGTGTTGTGGGGGCGGTGGTCAGAAGAACCGAACCCACTTTATATACATTCAAGGCTTTATGGCTGATTGCACAAAAATCACATTTATTTACCACTACTCTGTTGGGTGGTGTTCCTATAATTTCAGATGAAAAAACTGAAGCTCATCATCTTTTTAGCAAATCTTATAAAGGAGAGTCAAGATGTGAACTCTTAACTTTCATATTCTAAGTTCATTTCCTTTTCTTTTCAAGCAATAATACAGTCAGGCACTTCTGTACTGCAGGAGGCTGACTAGGCTAATTACAGTTCTTTAAGACAACCAATAGCAAAAGGCCCAAAGGCTATACCTGGAGACTTGGAGCGGGATCTGTGCCTTCTATCTCGAGACCTGCTGCGGTGACGTCTTGGACTTTTGCTCCGATGCCTTTCTCGGCGAGGGGAGGGGCTGTGGAGATGACTGGTCAGATTCCTTTATCTGACAATATATTCACCACAACAGCACCCCCCCTTCCCCAAAACCCTATCTTTCATTACAAATCAACTGAAGGCTTACCTCCTCCTTTTAGGAGACCTACTCCGCCTATACAGAGAGAAAAGAGGAAAACCTCAGTAGGTGCACCGCAGTTGTAGATTCCAAAAACTGTCCAAATTCTTCACTCGTATCCATGCCCTTTGTTCCGTAACTTTTTATTAACACCCTCCCACTCTAAGTCTGGGATTGGCCATGTCATCTGCTTTGCCAATGGGGTATTCGCAGATGGGATACTAACAGATACTGGAAGGAAACTTGTGTGACTGAGGCTGTCTGCTCTTGAATTCTACCACTGCCATGAGAACATGCCTAACTTAGCCTAGAATGAGACACATGGAGAAGAGATGAGTTGCCTCAGTCATCTTAGTTAAAAGCCATCTTATACTAGCCAACAGACAGCTGACCACAAAATGGGTGAGTGAACTTACACTGCCTATTCTATTCTAGCCCAGCTTCAAATCACTGACTATAGCCTTGTGAACTACATAAATGGTTACTGTCTGCCACAGAGGTTTTGCAGGTGGTTGTTCTATAGCAATTAATACACTAGGCAAACATTCTTCACAAGCTGAATTCTTTCCTTTGAAGTCCAATCTTCTTTGCTACCTTGCTAAAAGTCTCTCTGGAAGAGGCCAATGACTAGGGCCTTACCTTCTGGGAGACCGGCTTCTACTCCTCCTGTAGCGCAGTGTGGGAGAACGACGGGGCTTGTCCAAGTCTCGGTAGCTTCTCCGGCGATGATCAGGTGATGGCACTCTCTCCAACTGGAAAAGAGATAACTTACACAGAACCATTTAGGAACACTATATACACCCCCTCCTCATCCTGGCCCAAATTCCACCTCCAAGTGACTTTAAAATAACAAATACAAAGAGAACCCTAAGGACAAAAAGAACTACCAAATAAACTGAATGGTTTCCAATAATCCCACTATTATTCTAGTGTTGGTCCCTTTATTCTGGGACAATGTGAGACTAGTGAGAAGTAATTCTGTTTATCTCCTTAAGAAGCTGGATTTCCAATGAGAAAGAAGAGATACAGATGTAAGATCAAGAAGATTAAAGTATAAACTCATGCTGTACTTTAATCTTAAAAATTTCCTCCAGGTCTGCCAACTGTAAAGACCTAGAAATATTGACCAAACCCATAGCAATGAGCATTTATAGTGCCCAGACTGTGGTATCTAAATACCATTATCCCTTTAAATGAAACCAAGGGCTCCCTGGAAAAATGGCTAATTTCAGGTTTGGGGCAGAAGCTTTGAAGACATGACTAGAATGTATCAGAAGCAAGGAGGCTGAGACTACCATGATTATATCAGTCTCTTGAGTCAAGTTGGGGGTCCCCCACTGGCCAAAGAGGGGACAATTTCAGCATCAGCAAGGACCATGATGGTTCCAGACATCCAATTTGCTTAAATCCATGAGTTCACAATGTTACCGGGCACAAAAGCACATTGATCACATTGGGAGGATACTATGGAGTCAACTAATTATTTTAGAAACTGATAAAGAGAAATAATCAAGTATTGATCTTTTTTCTATATCAACTGTACCTAGGAAAAATTAAGTGTTGATGTGGGAGATTTCTCTTTACAGCAATGTTTTAGGTAACAAATGATGAAAAGACAAATTAGAATATCACCATCTTACAACCGCTAATGGGTCTAGGCAGAGATCATCTAGGCACCATAGCTCCTAATTTGACAAAAAAAAGACAGCCAGACTTTGCTCACCCTTGGGGAAGTACACACCAGTACCTATAAAGGAGTGTTGCTCTACTCTACCTCAAATCCAACTGAACCTTCAGATCTAAGAATTTGTTTATAGGAAATATAAGGGACAAATTTAAGTGGGACACAATCAGAAAAACACAGATTGTAAAATCTGTATAGAATAACATGACCTGTTTTATGGCTCTTTTTTGAATACTAATTCAAACTTAAAAAATATAGGGCAATTGGGGATATGTGAATCCTGAATATTTGTCTTTTTCCTTGTTTCAAGGTTAACTGAAATTCTAGTTAACATATAGTTTTAATTTCAACACTGAATATCTGATATTAAAGAATTACTGTTAATTTGGAGGTGCTAATGGTATCACAGTTAGGCCTTGTCTGAAATACGGATGAAATACAGGATAGCTGTGATATAGGTCAAGAAAATTGGTGTGGGGGCAATTTGGTATAGATATACAGAAGAAATAAAATGGCTGAGTTGATATTATGGAGGCTAGGTAATGGATAAATGGAGGCACATTCTCCACTTTAGCACATGATTGAAATTTTCCATCAAAAAAGTGGAAAAACAGGAGTGCCTGGGTGGCTCTTTTGGTTAAGTGTCTGACTCTTGATTTTGGCTCAAGTCATTATCTCAGCATTCAGGAGATCGAGCTCTGCACTGGGCACTGCATTAAATGCAGAGCTTGCTTGGGATTTTCTCTCTCCCTCTCTCTGCTTCTACCCCGCTTGTGCTTTCTCTCACTCAAAATAAATAAACTTTAAAAGAAAAAGAAAAGAAAAACAGAATGCCTACTTTTGGTTTACTCACCACATAAGAGCACCTCAGCCTTGCATGGCTTTCAATTCATGAATGTTTCCGTTGGCACTCACCTTAAAGGGAGCCTACTGGCTCAGAACTACACTTCCATTTGCAGTCAGAATCCATAATCCAGCATTTCTTGTTTCCCCTCCCAGCCTTTTTTTATACATATTTTAATCACAAATGTTTCAGATCCTTCTTTTCTAATTCAACCATAAATACTTCTACATTATCATATACAGTACTTTTCATAACAGTTTTAATGGCTAATAGTTGTAATAGTTTACCTGAGTGCTCCCTGACAGCTGGGTTCCTTTCAATTTTTCAGCATTATAACTAGTAAAGAACATGATCATGCAGTAGGTATTTTTCTTTAAAAAATTTTTTTTAATGTTTATTAGAGAGAGCAAGAGAGAGCATGTGCGCAAGGTGGGGAGGGGCAGAGAGAGAGGGAGACACAGAATCCAAAGCAGGCTCTAGGCTCTAAGCTGTTAGCACAGAGCCCAACGTGGGACTTGAACTCACTGACCGTGAGATCATGACCTGAGCCAAAGTTGGACATTTAACTGACAGAGCCACCCAGGCACCTCAGGTATTTTCTTTTTCTAAACTAGGCTTACTCCTTAGGATAGGTTCAACTATGAACAGTATTATTATTCTTGTCCTAAGTATTTATTTAAATAGCTACCAACTATGAGGCAATTATAATGTCCCAGTACTGTGCTAAGGGCGTTGTATATATCCTTTTATTAATATCCATAACAATCCTAAGAGAAAGGTATCATTAGCCTTGCTTTACAAAAGAAAAGACTGAAATTAATTTGCACAAGATTATGGAGAGCTGAGATACGAATCAACGTCTATTTAATTCAATGCTCATACTCTTAAATATCGTATTTTTTGGTTAAAGAAAGTTAAAAAGTAAAGTCTGAAAACAAAACAAGAAAGGACCATTCCCCCATCCCTTCCCCATAATTATCCCTCCTTCAACTGTTAAGCTCCCAGAGAGCCTGACCTTCTCATCTTCCTCTTCTTCCTCTTCACTGGACTCCACATCATCCATGTCCTCTTCTAGAGCGCTAACCCGAGGCTCCAGTTGCTCAGCTTCCTCTAGCACATAGCGTTTCTATGGAAAGCATAATGAGAGTTAGAGGGCCTTGTTCTCTCATCTATGTCTTGAAGCCCCAACACTGGGCTTCTGGGATTGACAGGAAGACTAGGGAGCAACAGCTGAGGCAATTTCATTTCAAAGACATCCTAGACAGTTCAAGATTTTCCTAAGGAATCTAACATACTTGGAACCAATACTCACATATCCCCCTGGAAACACATAAATACAAAGTTGAAGGTAACAACTTCATTTTCTGTTGGCTTATTCTCTGTGGTCTTTTACTCTTCCAGTCACTGAAATATCAAGCCGTATAGGTATAGCCTTGAATAAAAAATGGAGCCTCATATACAAGGACCAGTATGTTCACAGCTGTGACTCTGGTGGCTGGTAGCTGCAACGGGCTCAGAGCAGAATCTCCCCTAAGAGACCCACTGAGGCTCAGCCCAGTTTGGCGACTAAAGAGTGCCTTGGGTCCTGCTCTGGAATACCACCAACTCTCTACCTGACTCAGGATTTAGAGAACTGTCTATACAGTTCAGTGTGAGTCATTCAGTGTGAACACTGGAACTCCTGATTCCATTTTCTTCTGAGATGTGACTTAGCAGGCTTATCTATGATTAAGGAACTGAAAGACAAAGATGAGTTAAAAAATGCCAAATGGACTTGCTGGGTCATAAGATCCCTTTACCATTTTCTCCTGTCTAGGACATAAAGAATGTTGGACAGCCCTAGAATAAATAGTAATATTTAGCTTACATCTCACTCATCCCTAACAAAATTCTATGAAGTTTGGGAGAAATGAGACAAAGATGCCACTCAGTGAAGTCAATACCTCATTAAAGAGCTCCTTGGAAGAAGGCCCTCCAGTCACAGGATTACCAGTTTGTGATCTAAGACTGCATCAGACAGGGCATCCCAAATCCCTAATGCTCACAAGACTCAGAAGCTACTAAAATCACTATATTAATTCATTGTATTTGTGTTTGATGAAATTTGAATTCATCCCAGAGCAGCTTGTTGCCAATGTCCAGGCACATCAGAAGCTAAATTAATGAGGTACTTAGCAAGGACAGAATCAGAACAAAAGAAAGTGTTAAGGATCACTTCATCCAGAACAGATAGAGGCCCACACCAGACCACACTTCTTGGTGATATACATCAGTCAGATTTCAATTTTCTCTCTCGGTGCATGTTTTGTGGTCTTCTAGACTCTATGCAGACCATCTTCTTTACATCAATAGTCTTGCTTAAAGCTGAATGGGCTTTCAATCCTTTGGCTACAAACTGATTGCACTTGAAAGTAATCCATTTCTTCTAGTATTTTTAAAAATGATAGCAGCTAATAACGATTGCTAACATAACCATAATGAAGTGTGAGAACTGGGCCCTGAAAGCATGCTTTCAGTTTTGAAATCTTACTCTTTTTTTAGAGTTTGTTTATTTTGAGAGAGAGGGAGAGGGAGAGAGAGAACCCTAAGCAGGCTCTGTGCTGTCAGTGCAGAGCCCGACGCAGGGCTCAGTCTCATGAATGGTGAGATTATAACCTGAGCTGAAATCAAGAGTCAGGTGCTTAACCAACTACTGAGCCACCCAGGCACCCCAAAATCTTACTCTCTTTACTACAGTCTACAATAGCCAATACATAACAGGAAATATATATCACATTCATTTTCAGGATTTTTATTTTATAGGTTCCTTTAACTGGGTCACTATGGAGGAAGAATTGGTTCACTGCATTTAAATGTGACCACTTACCTACCAACTGCTTTTTATCCAGCTGATTTGCTGCCTCATCTGACCCGTTTATCAGATACCTGCATTTCACTCTATTCCCTACTTTGAATTAATTATTATGAAATAAATATTACTTTGCTGAGTGAAAGAAGACAAAAAAAGAAGAGTATATACTGTATCAATTCCAAAACACAAACTAATCTTATTGTGACAGCATATCAATGGTTGCTTAAGGGTGAGGGAGGAGGGAAGGAAGGGATTACCCAAAAGGAAAAAAGGAAACTTTTGGGATAATGGATATGTTCACTATTTTTGATTGTGAGGACAGTTTCAAGGGTGTATACATATGGCAAAACTTACCAAATTGTACACTTATCAAATTGTATATAGTTTAATGTATGTCAGTTACACTTTAATAATAAAGCCATTTAAAAGAGCAAAAGTCTTTGTTCAAATGAAATCTCACTCTCAAGCCCAATATGTAACTTGGAGAAAAAAGGAGTTCCTGTGATTGAATATGTGGGGCTTTTTCCTCTTATTGCTCTCAGTAGCCTTAAAACAGTTCCACAGAGCATTTTAAAGACCACTGAAGTAGTCTAATTTCCCTATTTTATAGATGGGGAAATAAAACCAGGTCCCACAGCTAGTCAGCTATAACAACCACCCAGAAATTTAATCTCCTAATTCCCTGCTCATTTCTCCATTACAGACCATTCCCTTTCTCTTTAGGCAACCTACTTTATCTGTTTTCCCTATGTACTTTATGACAGTAGGTTTAAAATCATAGTCTGCAAAACCCATTCCTGAAAGGTGCTACATGGATAATCATTAGGGAAGGGAGCAGGGTCATAAAGATATTTAAGGGGTTCAGATCTCAGTCTACCACTCCTGACTCTCCTGTTTTATATCCTGCAATTTCCTTATAATATTTTAAAGAAGAAAGTCTTGCTGTGTTAACTCACTTTTAAAGCCCTACTCTTCAAATACTTTATCTTTTTCCTTTCACTCCCAATCCCCTTTTTCATAGTAGTAAGACTGCTTAATAAGAGGGCCCCTAGGATCCTAGAGCTCCGGTGTTTTATTATGTATGTGCACTTGTCTGTCTGCCTGTCTTGGGGAGAGAAGGGCGACTCTGATAAGAGACCTTTATCTTTTACCTGTAGCCGGGGTAGAATGATATCACAGACTCTCTCACTGTGCAGCAGTTCATCAATAAACTCATCCACATGCATCAGTTCAAACTCTGAAAGAAAAGTCATAAGCTTAAGCAACTTGGAAATAAATTTATATAGCCAACAAGTAAAAGAAGTTTAAGACTCTATATGTAAAATATAGAGTACTTGATATAGAAAGTGTAAACCCTCTGCAGCCTCCCCTTCCTGCATATTCATTAGTAAAGCTATTCAGTGTGGCAGTTACAGAGAAGGGATTACTGACAAACCTGGCTCAAACTATAGCCATTCACAGCCTTGTCATTACTTATCTTCATTCATTCAGTTCACCTTTACTGAGGCCATCTATGAAACAGGCCTCTTCTTAGAGCTGGCGATAAAGGGATGAATAAAGCTGTCCGAATTAGCAGGAGACCCAACACAAAAGCAAGTGCAAACAGTCCTGAATTGTATAGGGGTGATGTTCTTGAACAGATCATATAACTCAAGTACAAATTCTTATGTGAACGCACTATGTTTTTAAATATAGAACATGTATCTTATATGGTAAACAATAGCCTTTTCAGGATTCTTATCGTAAACATTACCTTAGTTCAGTGGTTCTCAACCAGGGGTCACTTTGCTACCCACAACTAATGGGGATGCTACTGGCATCTTAGTGGGTAGAGTCCAGGGATAATGGCTAAACATCCTACAATGGGCTGGACAGCTCCCCACAACAAAGAATCATCTGGATCAAACTGTCATTGACAGGTTGAGAAACCCCATTTTAGTTTAACATAGTATAATCATAAATAAGTAATTCCATGATGGTCATGACCATGTCCACCTTGTTCACCATGTTATTTCCAGTATTAGCACAGAATCTGGCATGATATTGGTAGTTACTATGTATTTATTCAATAAACAAATTAACAAGTTAATAAAATTTAAAGTAAAACACCAAAATCTTAACTTTCTACTGCTTAATGTTACATCTAGAAGGGAAAGGCAAATGTTCCTAATCTTTGGTTATGACACTAAGTGAGAAGAAAAATATTTTGACTGTATTACCCTGAATCCCACTCTACCACAAAAAATACCTTTTTGTAAAATGTATGGAGCTGCCCCCATTGGACACACTATTTTTCAGGGGATTCCTACAGAAGTATAAGTATACTTAATCTATACTGCAGTGTGAAATAAAGTGCTAGAAGAGACACCACTAAAAATAACTGTAATGATATATAACATAGGGAAAACTAACTTTGGGAGGTTTGGGGAAGGCTTTTACGGAGGTCATTCTAAAGGTAGATCTTATGGGATGGAGCACATGTGGAGGGAACATATGATGGAAGGCTGGGATTGACACAAGATGCAATTGAAAAGGTAGGCAACCAGGGACAGACTGGGTAAGGCTAACAGGAAGTCTGATGGAGTGCTCCGTGCAGGTGGTGGAGAAGCTGAATGAAGATGGTAATGTAACGGATGAAGAGGAACATTCACAACGTATGTTACAATGTGAAGGGAGAGATACTGGTGAAATAAAAACTGGTTCAGGGAGGAAGGTCCAGACATCTGGCAACATACTCACCCCCATTTCGGTTCTGGCTCTTGATTTTTCGATAGTCGTTGTACAGAGGCTCTAAGTACTTGTAGCAATCAATTGCAGTGCCTGTCAGCCTCATGTAAAGTGCTCCCAACATGCGGACATACCTGACAGACAGAGGACAGTGAAGCTACAGGCCATTCAAAAAAATTCTTGAGTTTCACACCTGCCTTTTTTCGTATCAGTAGTGGATGCACAAGTTCTTTCTCTTCTTTGGCATATGAGAAAACTGCAATTTTAGAGGCAACATAGGGCAGCAGAAAGATAGTTAAAATTATGGAGACCTGGCATCAAGTTCCCATTCTACCATTTACTTGCTGTGGGAACTTGGGACATGTTGATCAACTTTCAGAGTCTATGTAACATGAAGATAGAACTTATTTACCTCACAGGATTGCTGTAAGAATTAAATCAGATACTGAATTTAACAACAGGACATATATATTTACTAACAATACAAGAAATAATATACATAGATGTGAATATATAAATTGTTGCTAGGCAGCACAGAAGGCTGGTTCTGGAAAAAAGTCAAAGTCATCTAGGTTACCATTCTGAGTCCATAACTTACTGATTTTGTTATATTAAGCAAGTTACTTCCTTTCTCAATCCTTGTAAAATGGAGATGATAATGCCTAATTTAATGGCTTGGTGTATTTAGTGAGAAATGTGCATGCAGTGCTAAGCATAGCATATAGTGCCTAATAAAAGTTAGCTATTTTCTAGCTGTTAATGTTTTGTTAAAATTCCTTTTTCTTTTCTCCTGTATCCAACTACCCACTCAAATCTCCACTTGGAGTAACTAGTAGGCATTTCAAACTCAGCAGTTTCTTTATATGACAAACAGAATAAAGTACAAAAGAATGTGTACACTGAAGCCAGCTTTGCCACTTACTAGCTGTTTGACCTTGAGGAAATTACTTAATTTCTCTGTGCTAGGTTTCCTCCCCTGTATGACAGGGGTGATAACTTTATAGGGTTGTTGTGAAGGTTAAATACCTATATGTAACTCCCTTAGAATAGAGGGTGGCACCTAATAAGCTATCATGTCTGTCTCCTATACTTGTCTGTGAGCTCCTTGAGAATGAATAATAAAATAGTATGAGCAGCTTACATTTTGGGGGTGTTTACCATGCGACAGGCACTGCACTATCTTTTTTAAATAAAATTTTAAATTTTATTTCAGAGAGAGAAGAATGCACAAGTGGGGAGAAGGGCAGAGGGAGGGAGAGAATCTTAAGCAGGCTCCACACTTAGCACAGACCCTGACACAGGGTGCGATGCCATAACCATGAGTCAGGGCTCAGGCACCACCTAGGCCCCCCAGCACTATCTTTTTTAACTCTCATATCAATCCTGAATTGGTATCCTCATCTCCATTTTACAGATAAATAAAGCTCAGAAAATGTAGTAACTTCTCCAAGGTCACAATAAGTAACAGAGTCTGGACATGAACCTATATCTACATGAAAGTTTTCCTATTTGTCTACCACACAATATAGTTTTCTTCATCTTTGAGCATCCAGTGTTACCAACATATTAGGCACTCACTTCTGCTTAATCTATGTTCAGTGAATTTGTGAAATGCTTTTTGGGTGGCAGAGGCAAGGGGGTGGGGGGAGTTACCAGGACTAAGAATGTAAAGAAGATCAAAACCATCAGAACAAACAAAATACAAACTCAAGAACTCAGGAGCAAAGTCTGTAGGGTGGAACCCTGTAGAAATAAGATACATTGCTTTCACTCTTCTTAACCAAAGCCAAATTCTGGATCACTGAAATTGAAGCTTTTATATTAGCTAATCAACATTTCACTCACTTGAAATCTTCATTTTTGATAAACTCTACAATGATATCCTTCTCGGGTTGAATTTGAAGCATCTTCAAGGTCAAACACAGAAAGGGAGTTGGCTTTATGTTGCCACCATAGACACCACCCACAAACCTCAACTCCATGGCTTTATCGACTACAAGTTCAGCTAAAAACAAAAACAAAAACAAAATAAAGTGGCATCTCAGACACATTAGGCCCAGCTTTTCCCAGTGTGAAGTGGAGAGAAGTTAGTTCAAGCTTTGGTACTCCTGCATACTAATCAATAATTTCGTATTAGGAGAATAAGCATGTCTGAGTAGGAATAATAGCAGCAGCCAATATACACTGAAGTGTCACTATATGCGAGATACTCTGCTAAGCATTTCATAATCTCAATCTTCACAAGCTCTGAAGTTCCTGCACTGAGGCTGTTTTCAGCTAAGAAAAATGAGGGCTAAGAAAGGTTAAGTGACTTGCTCAAGGTGCACAGCCAGAGAGTAGCAGGGCCTGGATTTACATGCAAGCAGTCTAATTTCAGAGTCCATGCTTGTCACCATTGTTTGCCAAAAAACTGCCAGATCAAGAGTTAAATAACAACAACAAACCACTCTATAACTACATAACCCTGAGTAATTGTCCTCTACAGAATGGGGATAATAATCTTTCACAAGTGTTTTCAAAAGCAAACACAAGCTGTGTGACCTAGGACAAGTCATTTTACTTTTTAACCTGTCAGTTCAAATCTGAATAATAAAGGTACAAAGTTTAAGGGCTATAGTGACAATCAAGTGAGACAAAACAAATGTTAACACCTGACACACAGCAAATAATGTATGAGAGACACCATTAGTGTCTTATAAATCAGATTTCAAGTTCCTTTACGATAAATTCTGTATTAATTCATTCAACATTACAGTTGACAACTTATAGCCAGGTGCTAAATACTAGAGAAACAGGTAAAGGGATAAAGAAGGACAAAATTACTACTCTTACAGAGTTTACAGTCTGGCAAGGCAGAAAGCATTGAAAAAATAATTGAAATTGTGATGAACAGTTGAAAGAAGATGCAGGATGCATAAAATTATATGACGGGAACATAATCTTAGTGTTGGGGGAGAAAAGATCATGAGTTCACTTTTGGATATACCGAGTTGGCATGTTTTGGAATCAAGAGATTTAGATCTCAGAGGGAGAGATAAATTTGAAGGCATCTACATATAACATGTAACTACAGTGTGGAAATCATCCAAGGAGAGAATTATGTAATGAGAAAAGGCCCCAAAATTGACATGACTCCAAAATTTAATGGCGACTGAGAGGAACAATATGACTTGTCCATGGACACACAGTTAGCAGTGGTGGCAACAACAGTAATGGCATAGGTGGAGTTAACAGTAATGGCATAGGTAACAACTAGCACACTGCTGAATACTTCTTAAAATATTTACCTGTAACTTTGTTTTTTGGTTTTTTTTTTTAAGTTTACTTATTTCGAGAGAGAGAAAGCACAGGTGCGGCGGCAGCAGTAGGTGAGGGAGGGACAGATTGATTGGGAGAGAAAATCCCAAGCAGGCTCCCTGCTGACAGAGGAAGAACCCAAGGCAGGGGATCCATCCCACCAACCCTGGGATCATGACTGAGCGGAAACCAAGGGTGGGAAGCTTAACCACTAAGCCACCCAGGCGCCCCTATACCAAATACTTCTTGTACTTTTTTTAAAGTTTATTTATTTTGAGAGAGAAAGTGCGAGTGGAGGAGGGGCATAGACAGAGGGGCAGAGAGAGAATCCCAAGCAGGCTCTGTACTGTCAGCGCAGAGCCCGATGTGGGGGCTCGAACCCAGGAACCATGAGATCATGACCTGAGCCAAGTGGAAGGCTGAACGACTGAGCCACCCAGAGAGCCCCATACTTTTTGTACA